ATGAATTGGGACAGGTTTAGACGTTAAATTTGGTCACCAAGGAACCAAAGGGGTGCCTATGTGCGCAAGTACTCAGTTTTAGGCTTTTCTAGGCTTATTTTAAGGTTCTGGTCATCTGGAACTGGCTCAATGAGGCTGAACCGGTTAACCGGTTCAGGGTCATTGAACCGGTTCAGGGTATTGAACCGATTCAAGACCTTAAGTACCCACTTTTGCCTTGTTAGTTTTTCAACTTCGATCACCTGAGTTTGTGCTGTCCGAACCCAAATTGGGTCATTCTTGAGTCCATTTTTAAGAATTTTAAGTTAGCTGTCCAATGAAACCAACCTCATCTTCAAGTTCTATTCATTCTAGGACATATAGATGTTTTAGTGAGACAGTGTCGAAATTTCTCTTGAACCGAGTAGGGGCACTATTGGGAAATCATTATCAATGACCGTAGAACTTCTTCAAATGTCATAGAATGACTAGAATGATTGTTTTAAACTTAATTTGTCTAGTTTAAGAACATATTATCCTTGCTTGTCTTAAAATGACCATTTTACCCCTAGTATGTCCTCGGGTTCGGGTAAGGACCCGGTTAGCGATTCGGATTCCGGGTTCGGGTTGTTACGATGGTGGTGAGTAGATGACTTGACAGCCCAGTGAGTTTGTGCTTTGTGGATTTTGGAGTGTCAGGTTTTTGACTCTCTGCATTTATTAATTTACCTTCTTGCCTTGAAAATAAAAAAATATAAAAAAAAAAAAAAACTTATGGATAGTGGTGGATTAATCTAATTTCTAACACTTCTTGCTTTGAAAAAAAAATAGATCAATCTAACTTTTAACACTTCTTGTAGAAAAAAAATATATACATATGATGGTGGTGGATTATGGAATGTTTTAAGCGGTCAAAAACACCATTGTCGAATAGCAACAGCCACAAAAAAATAAAGTGGTCTATACATTTTTTTTAAACACTGCATATGGATGGTGGCGGATTATGGAGTATTTTTAAGAGGTGAAAAACACCAATGTCGAACAACAAACACCACCAAAAATAAAATAAAATCAACACAAACCTATGCACTAATTTGAAAAAGTGTTAAACAACCACCAAAAATAAAATAAATGGACACAAACCCATGCCCTAGTGTGAAAAAGTGCTCAAATTCTCAATTGTTTTTTTTTTTTTTTTAATAATTATTATTTTAATAGACTCAAATTCTCAAACTCTAGTGTGAGAAAAAAACAAAAAAAAAAAGGATATAGATACTCCATGGTGCAATTATGTGGGTTATACTATCTTAGAATCAGGTACGAACAAAGGCAATTGCAAAATTACTTACAAATTTAGTGAAAACCTTAAACATGTTTTATTTTTTTATTTTTTAAAAAACACTCTTACTTAATTTTTAATAATACTTCACTATGTATTATTATTATTGTTCAAAACAACCCCTAATTATCTCATAATGCAATTCTCTGAGTCCGTGACCATGGGACAGATATTAAAAAGGTCGTGATCCTCGAGGCCATAAAGTATAGATAATAAAGCAAAGTTAAAAATATATTCAAAACGACATCGTTTTGAAGTCCTTTCCATTCTATTGTTTTCCTGATCTTTGTGATCAATTATTAAAACCTTCATTCTCTTGAGAGTAACTTCACATTCCTTTCCTATACACGAGATTTAAGCATTAAGCAACAAGAATTTGAAAGATCCTAAAGCATGATAAAATGTGCCCCTTCCTGAGAGCATCTCCAATGCTCTCTCATTTTGAGCTCTCAAACTCATAATTTGAGAGATGGGTAAAAAAAGCTACTTCAATGGCCTTTCATTTGGCCTCTCAAAATTTGAAAATCTCAAAATTTCTCTCAAATATAAGAGCTGCCAAATTTTTTTGGCAGCTCTCTAACACCAACCCCACACACACACATATATATAATTTCAAACACACACAATTTTAACTCAAATTCGTCTATATATATATATACATATATATATATAAAAGATCATAAAAAATTTCACCAAATAGGATTTAGTTTGCAAAACAACAATTACAGACCTTGATTAGATGATTTAGAAAAAAAATTAAAACAAAACCCATACATACAATTTAGCAGTTGCAGATAGAGAGAGAGAGGCCAAGCTTGAGAGTTGAGAGAGCGGCTGAAGCTTGCGAACGGCGAACCCGAACTGGAACAACAGGCGATGTAAACTGGAGGCGATTCGGGAGGCTGAAATGATTTGCCCTAAAAAAATATATATTTTTAATAATAATATACTCAAATATATAATATACATACATATATATATATATATATATATATATATATATAATATGAATTTTTGAAAAAGAAAAAAAAAATTATATAACAATATAATCAAATATATAAATTTATACATATATATATGTGTGTGTGTGTGTGTGTGTGTGTGTGTATTTTGGTCCTTTTTTGACAAGATATTTTAAATTTTTGTTTCTTTTTAATTAGGTTTAATTTTAGTTTCCTTCTGATGTCTACAACTTGACTTGGAATGTGCCTAATATTAATATTACTGATACAAATATGAATGGTAAGAATGGTAATTAAAAAAGAATGGTGGTTGTGTCAAAAAATAGCATTTTGTATGAAATGCACCTGAGGATACCAAAACGACCCGAGCTTGGAGTGATCCATATTGCATAGGATGGGTCGGATGTGGACAAACTGGATGGAGCCAGTTCGCACCGTATGGGCCCAGGTCCATAAAGCCATTTCAGAAGCCCATGATGAAATGAGAGGGATCGAGTCCAGCCAAAAGAGAATAGGATAGGATCAGCTCAGTGGAGGTTGTAACTGTCTATAAATAGAAGGGATTGAGAGGGAAAAGGGGTTGAAAAATCATTGGGAGTGTAAAGTTTCTCTCTCTACAATTAGGGAAAAATTCTTTGCACTTTCAATTGGCGCTGTCTGTGGGAAGAACAAGAAGGATTGATTGATATCATTCTAGATCAGATCGATTCAACGCATTCTGCGAGGAAGACGACTACTCTGCGAAAACTGAATCAACATTGATGATAATACGATCTGTTTTGACGAGTCAGGGCTCCGGTTGATTTCGGAAAATTGGCGTCTGATCCAAGCAGATCAGATCCGTGGTTGATCCGGCGAACTGTGCAATTGCGATCTGTTGTGATTACTGAATCCGGCCAGTAGCGGACTGAATTCAGCAAGTGTAAGTTCAGATCTGGTGTGCGCGCGTTAGCGGAGCTCCGATTTGGTCAAGAAGTCTGCAGTTGATGACTTTGCTCTGATCTGGAATGATGATCGGAGAGGCGAACTCGAATCCTTTGGAGAACGGCCAGCAGACAAAGCTCGATGAGCTGATGAACATGATCGAGGCTTTGAGGAAAGAAAATGCAGAGCTACGAGCTGGAATGGAGCATCGTGAGGCTTTTGCAATTCCGAGGCCACCTCCTGAAGGAGAGGGAGCTTTACCGTCCGAAGCTGATCGTCAAGGTAATCCAGAAGACGTCAATCGTGGTGGTCTACGTCGTGATGAAGATATAATCGGTAATCTGCCTCCAAATGCCGGCAGGATAGAAGATCGGGAAGGATCTGTTCGTCTGGAACCGCATCACAAACGGATTATGAGGGAGGAAGCACCAGCGTATGAACAACGGGTTGCGTCACCATAGCGGAGTGAATTTGCGGAGGATAGGTCGTTCGATCCGCCATACTGACCTTCATTAGCGACAGTTGATTACGATAGCTCGGAAAGGAGATTTGTCGATCGAGGATTTCCGTCATGATTTTCAAGAGAAAACGAAGCATTGCGTTCCTCAGCAAGGACGGTCGTATCGCCGTTCACTGATGAAATTCTGAACGTGCCGAATCCGAAGAAGTTTTCCATGCCCATCTTCATTCTGTTTAACGGAACAACTGATCCGGTCGATCACATATACCATATTCAATTAAAAATGGCTTTAAATACTAATAATGATCCTTTGATGTGCAAGTGTTTCCCTACGAGCCTGGCTGGACTAGCTCTCAATTGGTTCAAGAATCTGGCTCAAGGCTCAATCGCCAGTTTCCAGGACTTATGCGATAAGTTCATAAGCCAGTATTACGGGAATAAGCGTCCGGCTAAGGATGTATCGAGCTTTTTTACAATGAAGTAGCATGAGGATGAGCGGCTCCAAGCTTTTCTCACCCGGTTCAACCTCGTTAAGAGCATGGTAATGGAGTGCCACCCGTCCACAGTAGTCCAAGCATTTAAACTCGCAATGAACCGGGGGACGCCATTCCACACCAGCTTAGTGGTTAATACGCCAAAGACAATGGACAAGCTGAACGAGAGAGCTGATGGTTTTGTTTGCCTTGAGGAGGAAGAAGCAGCTAATTCAAGGAAGACGTCAATTATTTCGACGGAGGAGAAGTCCAAAGCCAAGATCTGGCAAAAACAAGCTCAACCGCAATGTCAACCCTCATGGAAGGCAGAGAAGAGGCCCAGGGAGGAGGAATCAGTCACTCCACTCAGAGTCACTTTAGCAAGGCTATACCAGGAGAACAAAGATAAGTTTCATCCTCCTCTGCCAATCAGGCAACCTCTTGAACAGAGAGATCAGACTAAACATTGTGCTTTCTATAGTGATTTTGGGCATCAGACTAACGAATGCAGGAACCTAAGGAGGCAAGTAGAGATGCTGATCGCAAAGGGGGAGTTTGCAAGCTATGTCCAGGGTCTGGCGTAAGAGCATAATCACCCGACTGAGCAAATCAAACAGAACCAGAGGCCAAACCAACACAACTCCCAACCCGTCAGGATTATAAACGCAATTCATGGTCGGCCTGAGCAAACGACGGAGTCAGAGGAGTTGCTCAGGACGAGGTTACGCCAGGCCCAGCTGAAAAGAAGAATTAGCAGTGTGCATGCTTTACACCAATAGAACGCGTCCACATTAATAAAGTTTGATAAAACGAACCTGCTACGTGTTCAGATTCCTCATGAAGATCCACTAGTCGTCAGTCTGATGATTGTAGAATGCCTAGTTCGGAGAGTCCTGATTGATCCAGGAAGTAGTGCAAATGTCATGCCCAGGGTGACGTTCGACCGACTAGAGATCGCACCCGAAAAACTCAAACCCACAGGGAATCCGCTGCTCGGATTTGATGGGAAGCGAGTGGAACGCATTGGAATAGTAGAATTGACAGTACAAGCCGCTGAGCGAGTTCTGACTGAAAGTTTTATGGTAGTGGAAATTTATCCATCATACAACCTCTTGATGGGCAGAGGATGGATTCACAGAATTCAGGGCGTTCCGTCAACCTTACATCAAGTGATGCGATGTTTAGGTCCGGATGGGACCAAGGTGATAGATATACATGGGGACCAGGTTGCGGCTAAAGAATGTTATTCAGTAACTTTAAAATCTGCTGAAAAGGGGAAAAATCCCATCCGTTCTGCCATTCCAAAATAGCAATTACAGAACCCTTCTCCCAGCAAGGATGGGGGGGAGGAGCCGCCAGTTCTGACCACAGAACCCCTTCATGAAGCGAAGATTGATCGTAGAAAACCAGACCGAATAACAAAGGTAGGCACCAAACTCACTAAAGAAGAGAGACTAGAGATGACTAATTTCCTGATTCGGAATGCGGATGTATTCGCATGGAGCCATTCAGATATGCCAGGGATAAATCCTGCTGTATCCTGCCATTCCCTCAATGTGGATCCGAATGCAAAGCCAGTAAAGCAGAAGCAGAGAAGATTTGCTCCAGAACGAAACCAGATTATAGCTGAGGAGGTTGATCGGCTGCTTGAAGCAGGATTCATCAGAGAAGTTCAGTACCCGGCCTAGCTCTCTAACGTTGTTGTAGTGCAGAAGAAGAATGGAAAATGGAGAGTGTGCATCGACTTCACCAACCTGAACAAAGCCTGCCCAAAGGATAGTTTCCCATTGCCCAGGATTGATCAAATGGTAGATGCCACCACAGGATATGAGCGGTTAACTTTCCTGGATGCTTATTCCGGTTATAACCAAATTCCTATGGATCCAGTTGATGAAGAGAAGACTTCATTTATTACTGAACGAGGGACTTATTGCTATAAAGTCATGCCATTCGGATTGAAAAACGCTGGAGCCACTTATCAAAGGCTGATCAGCAAGATTTTTAAGGGCCAGATGGGCAGTACTGTCAAGGCTTACATTGATGATATGGTGGTCAAGAGTAAGAAGAAGAGCGATCATTTAGCACACCTGCAAGATATGTTCGATGTGTTGCGCCAGTATGGGATGAAGCTTAATCCGGCCAAGTGCTAATTCGGTGTAAGCTCCGGTCAATTCCTGGGACATGTGGTCAATCATAGAGGAATTGAGGTCAGCCCAGCACAGGCAGAAGCCTTGATCAGGAATGTAGAGCCAAAGATAATTAAAGAGGTGCAGGCACTCACAGGCAGGATAGCCGCACTGAGCCGATTTATTTCCAAGCTTTCGGACCGCTGTAAACCTTTCTTCGATACAATACGAGGGCATGGAAGGCAAACCTGGGGGGATGAACAACGGCAGGCACTAACCAGCCTGAAGGAGTACATGCGTAATCCCCCGGTTCTGTCTGCTCCAGAACCGAATGAGAGACTTTTTCTATATCTCGGGGTGTCCAGCATAGCAACCAGTGCCGTTCTGATCCGTTGCAAAGAGGGCAAGCAGTTCCCGGTGTTTTATGTTAGCAAGACAATGTCTAAACCAGAGAGAAGATACTCTAGGGCCGAACGAATGATCTTGTCGCTGGTCAATGCAAAAAGGAAGCTTAGACACTATTTTGAATCTCACCCAATCGTCGTTTTAACAACTTTCCCTTTGAGAATGATCCTGCACAAACCGGACCTGTCGGGGAGAATGACCAAGTGGGCCATTGAATTGAGTTCATTTGATATCACATACGAGGCCAGGACGGCAATCAAAGGTCAAACGGTGGCGGATTTCCTACTTGACTGTGATGATGAAGATACGGTGGAGGATTGTAATTGTTCCTGGTGGAAGCTTTTCGTGGACGGCTCCTCGAATCAAATGGGGGCCGAGATTGGAATTCAATTGCAAACACCAGAAGGAACTACGCTGAGCCAAGCGATAAGACTAGAGTTCAGCGCGACCAACAATGAGGCAGAATACGAGGCGCTGATAGCCGGGTTGAAGTTGGCTAAGGAATTAAAGATCAAGAATCTGATGGCTTATAGTGACTCGCAACTAGTCATTCGACAAGTCAATGGGGACTATGGAGCCAAGGATGAGACTATGGAAGCATACCGAACTGCGGTTCTGCGTGATGCGAAAGCCTTTGATCAGATCAGGTTTATCCAGTTGTCGAGAGAGTATAACGAAGATGCCGATCGCTTGGCTTGTAGCGCATCCAGTTCTGGAGATACTTTAGCTAGGGTCATCTCGGTCGACATACTGATCCAACCTTCCATTTTTGAAGAACTGCCTGATCCGAGCACTCAACATGTTAATGTCATACCATATGAGCCGAGCTGGATTGATCTAATCATGGCTTACATACGTAGTGGTACACTCCCCGAGTGTAAGGATGAGGCAAGAAGAATTAGGTCCAGCGCAGCAAAATACGCCATTGTGCACGGTCAGTTATATAGACGCTCCTTCTCGGGTCCATATTTGAAGTGTGCTACCCCTACAGAAGCTAGACAGATTATGCGAACCATTCACGAGGGAGTATGCGGAAATCACTCCGGAGGAAGATCTTTAGCACACAAAGCAATGACACAGGGGTACTTCTGGCCGAACATGGCACGAGATGTAGAAGAATTCTCTAGAAGATGCGATAAATGCCAGAGGTTCGGGTCATTGATACATCAACCACCTGAAGACCTGCACGTAATGGCCACCCCATGGCCTTTCGCGCAGTGGGTTATGGACGTGGTTGGCCCTTTGCCGATTGCAAGATCACAGAATAAGTACGTTCTGCTAGCTACTGATTACTTCACCAAATGGGTAGAAGCGGAGCCGTACCCTAGTGTCACCCAAACTCAAGTAAAACGCTTCATTTGGAATAATATTATCTGTCGTTTTGGCATACCAAGGTCAATCGTGATGGACAATGGAACCAACCTCGATAGCAAGCAAGTGAGAGAGCTGCTAGAGGAATATGGAATCAATCAAAAGTTAGCAGCAGTCAGTCATCCTCAGGCTAATGGTCAAGCCGAAATCACAAACAGGACAATATTTGCTTGTATCAAGAAAAAGCTGGTGAATGAAAAAGGCAAATGGTTGGATGAGCTACCGAACGTCTTATGGGCTTACAGAACAACCCCAAGACGGCCAACTGGTGAGAGCCCATTCGCTATGGCCTATGGCACCGAGGCGGTGATACCAGTCGAGCATTTGGTTCCAACTGTAAGGAGCTTGGCGTGGGATCAAGAGAAGAATGATAGAATGCTGAGGTTCAATCTTGATTTATTAGAAGAAAAAAGGGATGCGGCTGCAGTGAGGCTCGCCTCTTATCAACAGACGCTCGTGAATAGCCATAACAAGAAGGTGAGGGACAGGGGATTCGCTCCTGGCGATCTGGTTCTGAAAAGGAAGGTGGGAATAGTCAAAAAGATGTTCTCCCCATGGGAAGGTCCGTACAGAATAGCAGAAGTCATTGGGAAGGGGGCATACGTCCTAGAAACTATGACAGGAAGGGTAGTCAATAAGCCATAGAATGCTATGTCTCTGAAAAGGTACTACCAGTAAAAGTAGAGTTTAATTTCAAGCATATTGTACGTTCTGAATTGCATGCTTGAAAGTGTACGAAATTTCCATGCTTTATAAAAAGCCTCTTCTTTGTTAAAAATCTACACCCTTCCCATTCAGCAAGTTAGTGGCAGCTGGCACTTAAAGCCGAACGCCAAACACTTGCTCAGAAAATGAAAAAGCCAAGTGGCAAGAGGCGTTCAGGCCGAGCGCCAGGCTTTCAGCAAGTTAGTGGCAGCTGGCACTTAAAGCCGAACGCCAAACACTTGCTCAGAAAATGAAAAAGCCAAGTGGCAAGAGGCGTTCAGGCCGAGCGCCAGACTTTCAGCAAGTTAGTGGCAGCTGGCACTTAAAGCCGAACGCCAAACACTTGCTCAGAAAATGAGTAAGGAAAGGACAGAATGGTGATATGGCCAAACGCTAAACACTTAAAAAAAAAAAAAAAAAAAAAAAAAAAAAAAAAAAAAAAAAAACAACAACAACACTGCAAAGCTGAAAATAGAAAACTCAATGGAGGAAAGTGATACTGAGCAAAGATATTATCATTAATAGCCAGAAAGGCCCCAAGGTACGTAGTACCATACATGCAGATTCAAAAAAAAAAAAAAAAAATGCTATTGGCTCTCAATTCTGATCTTCTCTAGACTGTGGCTTGTCGTTCTCGCCACCATCTCCCTCTGGACCATCGAGATCTCCATCTGCCCTATCATCCTTAGAAGGGGAGTCGAGATGAATCACCCCCTCAGCAGGCATAGGTCTTTCGGCAGCGACGGAGGAAGATGGCACGATGGTAGAAAGGGGAAGAATGCTCAGAGGGTGAAAGAGTGGGACAATTCCTGAAGATGTGACCTCTATGCATTCAATAAAAATGTTCTCGGCTGGGTCGCATGGTGGATTTTGATAGTTGTTTGGGGGGTGGATGTCCAGAGAAGCGTCCAGTTCATCAGGACCAGCACAAGAGCTTGATTCACCTTCAGGGGGAGAACGGTCAACAAAACCGTCTCTGTACCCTTCAGCATACCGGATGGCACTGGTCCTGGTAAAGCGAGCAAGGAGAGCCCTCATTCCCCCTTCGACTCTGCTGATCATGTTCATCAGGGAAGACCGTTCGTTTAGAAGTTTTTCTTTGGAATTCGCATATGATAACCGTTCAGCAATGAATGAATGCTGAAGGTCCCCCTTTTCGGCTTTAAGAGAGTCCCTTTCTGTCAAAGCTACACTCTTCTCGGTTTTTAAGACATCAACCTCATCATGAAGAGAGTCCCGTTCGGTCTTCAGGGAATCCAGTTCAGCTCTGAGGGAATCCCTCTCGTTTGCCAGACCGTCTTTCTCTGCCTTTAGGTCAGCAACTTCCTTCTCAGAGTCCCTAAGCTTTGACTCCAGCTCAGCAACTCTGGCCTCAAGAAGAGTCTCTGCTTCAACAGACCTTTTAAGGCCCACAGAGAGAGACTTAAGTTTTTTATTCAGTGTTTCAACTGTTTTCTGAAAGGTGAACATCCCGAACAGAGTCTGCATGAAGAAAAAGAAATTCAGATCAGACTAAGTACAAAGGAATCATAACTGAAAAGGAACACAGTTCAGTGGAAGAAGGGTCACCTCCATAGCAGCGGCCGAGAACCGTTGGAACATCTCACCAAAGGACATTTTATTCTGGATTTCAAAGTCTTTGGGGGTCCAGAAGCCCTTGTAGAAAGCAAACAAGGTTAGGGGGTCTTTGTATATTGAGTCAGTGGGGCCAATGGTTAATCCATCTTCACGGCTGAGCAAAGGTCGTCATGGAAGAACGGATGGAATTGGACCAGAGGTTCTGGCCGACTCACCTTCAGGAATAAAGAACCGGGCAGGGGGCAATGGTTCAGTAACCCTGAAGGAAACCGTCCTTATCCTTCGGTTCGGAGGGATATCACTCTGATCATGACCGCCCTCAGGCATTGGCCTTTTCCCCAAACTCTTTTCCAACAGAGCAGCATTAGCTGGCCCCCCGTTGTCCTCAGAATTTCCAGCATCCTGAGTGCTTTCTGAAGAAGTGTCGGATGAAATGTTTGATGGCATAATGACGGGGGCAGCAGGATGAACTTCAGCAGCATGGCCCGCAACAGGGTTCTCACCATGGGTGAGCTCTAAAGGCGCATCAGCAGAACGGGTTGAGACTTGAGTTGCAGCTGGGGCAACCACAACTTGCTCTAGGGCAGAGACAGCAGGAAGAGATGATGTGGAAGCAGGTGTAGGTGATGGAATAACGGCAGGAGCGTTAGAAAGGGTGGGAGCAAGACGCCTCCTCCTGCTGAACGATGGGATCTGAATGTTCTCCATTGTAGACCCTAAAAGAGAGATGTCAGAAAGATTATCAGATGTAAGCAAATCAGTAGCTGAAGGAACATCGTTCAGCACGTTTTCTAGCAAGGTATCTAGCCTAGCCCTGCAGACGCTATAAACTAGTTCATCATGGGGAATTTCAAGGCATCTACAAAGAAAAGTGCAAAAGCGGGGAAGATAACTTTCACAGTGGCGTTCAGAAGGATGTTTTTTCAGTTTCTTGTAGCCAGAGACAGAACTGGTTCCAAAGGAAGAGGGGATAGGGAAGGAATGGCCGAGCGGAGTCCGCCAATTCCCACCAACCACAATTAAATTCCGCCTCCAACCCTTTTCAAATGAGCTTTTATCAGTGCAGATTGACCGTTTGTCAATAGGAAAGAAGTGATAGTACAAGTCGTTTTGTGAGATCTTATTAATCCGATAGCAGAGGAGAAGGTCAATAATGTCAAGATTGAGACCCCTGTCACGATTCAAGAGCAGGAGAACTGAAATTACCCTAAGAAAGTTTGGGTTAACTTGCAGGGGGCAGAGCCTCAATTTGTTGAAAGTGTAGCAAAAGAATGGGTGTACGGGGAACCTAATGACGTTCAGGTGAATGACAGAGAACAAAACTTCCCCAGGAAGAAGACCCTTACCGGATCTCTCGTCTAAGTTTGTTGGGTAGACTCTGAGAGAAACGTCGTGAGGGATACAATTCTTGGATCGAATGGTGTTCAGGTTAGGGGAAGCCATGAAAAGGGGAAGAGTTCTAGGTAGTAAAGGCGCCTTTAAAGAGAGGATGTTTAAAAAAAGAAAAAAGAAACTAACCTCGAAGGTTTGTGATGAACTCAGCAACGGCACAGTAGCTAAAAATAAAAAAGGAAGGACTCGCCGGAAGAACTTGCCGGAGAAAGTAAAAAGGATCGCCGGAATGTGCAGGAAAGCAACAAGGAGTAGAAGTAAAGAGGTAAGAGAGAGGATGAAGGAGAGAAAGATCAGAATTTATAAAGAGGAGAAGTAAAAGCGACATGGAACTCCAAAGGTCAAGGCAAAAAGTGGCGCTGCAGATCTCGAAACCTGGGTTCTTGTACCAGCCGTTCGATTCCTCGAGTTATTGCTCCAAGCCGTCAGACCAAGATCGTGTCCTTTCAATAATCTCACCCTCATTAATGAGGAAAGAGATTATTGGGGGCAGATGAGGATACCAAAACGACCCGGGCTTGGAGTGATCCACATTGCATAGGATGGGTCGGATGTGGACAAACGGGATGGAGCCAGTTCGCGCCGTATGGGCCCAAGTCCATAAAGCCATTTCAGAAGCCCATGATGAAATGAGAGGAATCGAGTCCAGCCAAAAGAGAATAGGATAGGATCAGCTCAGTGGAGGTTGTAATTGTCTATAAATAGAAGGGATTGAGAGGGAAAAGGGGTTGAAAAATCATTGGGAGTGTAAAGTGTCTCTCTACAATTAGGAAAAAATTCTTTGTACTTTCAGCACCATTGGAACATAATTGCTAAAATGTAGCATTTTGACATTGTAACACCTGTCAAAATATAGATTTGACAGTTGAAAATAACTTTTAGTATTGGAGATGGCTAAGCCTTTAACCACAATTCCATGATAGTATTGATACCAATGGATTGCTTGTGTGTGTAGTTTTTTTTGTTTTGTTTTGAGCTGTGATGGAGACTAGAGAGTAAGAAAATTTAACATGGAGTATTTTTTAAATGGTTAACTTTTACCCAAAAGAAACAAAGTCAATATATTATTACCTGATTGACAAATTCATATATCATTATTTTATCAAGTAATTTGAACATTGTGGAGGGAAATTTTCCCAACAACCATAGGGCACCACGTGTGCATTGCAAAGTCCAGGAGCGAGCCCAAGGAGATGAGCCCAACACTAAAAGCCCACCTATTGGGACTGGTTCTCTTAATAGAAAGATAATATGCTCGATCCGGCCCAGAGTGCCAAACGGACCCGGTGAAAGCTACAACACCCATTCGACCAGGCCATAATATTGTCCAACATTAGGGACTCCTCTTAGTGTAAATAATTAGGAAAAAACAGAATCAAGAAGATCATCACAAATCCATTGCTAATTACAATACAACAGACAAAACAGAAAAAATAAATGTCGAAAGCAATCAGGCTCTGGGCATGATGACACAAGTAAAGTACAAACATTTCTTATTTCATTTCTTTCAATGTGATTCAAAGCATGTGATTAGAAACCTATTTTAGTTAGTGCAACACTCAACCTTACCATTTCATGCAGCTTCACCATTCATTCTCCCTGAACTCAACAAAGCATAACCATAAAAATCGAACTTAACGTAAACTCTGTGATTCCCTCTAAAAATTTAAGCTGTTGCGATTACCCAAATGTAGCTCACCAGAACTCTTTTAAGTGCGGCACAGCTATATCAGCAATTCCTCTTCCTATGCCTTGCATGTTCTTCATATGCTTCTAGCTCCACTCCATGAGTTTAAAACACTCAAATAAAAATCATACTCATTCTGTTCTTTTGCTTCAATCAGAATTCAGAATCATCAATCTTTTGACCATGAGACTCACTGCCGACAAAAAAATTCAGCAGATATCAGTGTTGAGGTCAGATTAATCAAAGAAAACTGAGAGATTGCACGTAGTACCTGGGTCGACAAATGAACGAGAATAAACAGTGCACGAAATTGAATCTAAATACTTACAAGCACTTTGAAATCATCCTAGTACCCTGGCGGACGAACAAAAGATGCACAAATCATTTCTTTAACAGTTTAAATTCAAAGAGCAGGAACACAGAGTTAGAATCTAAAATCCCACTCTTCTCAGCTGCTTGGCAAAGAGAACAAAGTAAAAACCACCAATTTCAAGGAAGAGAACACAAAGGTTCCATAAATGTATCTAATGAACCCCTTCCTAAGCCTTTAATTCCAATTCCATGATACCAATGGACTGCTTGTGTGTGTTTTATCCTGACAAATAATCGCTCACCCATGTTGTCTCTCCAGAACTTGACCACTTAACATTCCACTTGAGGAAGTTGACAAGATGTCATTATACTATAACCCTTGGTAGTTTCGATCTATAATTTAAACTGCTCCAAAACAACCATTTTACTCGAGTCGCATGGAGATTCTCTCAGAGAACGCACATTTTAATTGGCATTTGAAAGGTGGAAGTTGCAGCAATTGGCCTGAACATAAAGTTTTTAAAACGAATTGGATTTTGGTTAAATGATACCTAATAGGCAAAGCAGATAACTTCAGTGGAAAAATATAAACATTGACTGAGAAACACCATAAATCTAGTATGATAAATCAAAAGATCAATATCTGGAATCAATTACGGGAAACTTTTGAGGTAAATTATCTAATATTGTTGAAGAAACAAAAATATCACGAGCATAGAAAGAAAATCCTCTTGAGAAACAGGGACTTTTACAAGTGTTCCCAATGTATTCAAAAAGTATAATAAAAATAAATAAATAAATAAATACAGAAAGCATCCTAATTTTCAGAGCTTTCGTCAGGCAACTCCAGTTGAATTCCTTTCCTGCCCATGCGCTAAGGTCTCAAAGCCTGGCAGTATTCATCGATTCTCTTCCATGTGTTCAATGTCAGCATGGAATATTTCACTAATAGCCACTTTTACCCAGAAGAAACAAAATCAATATTTTATACCTGATTAACAAATTCATATATCATAATTTTAACAGAAATTTAAACATGGAGATCTTTCTAGCACCAAAAACTCGGCCAGATAAAGGAGTCAGGTCCAAAGAACCAAAATCACGAATCCTTTACCGATTTCAAGACAACAAACAAAACAGAAAATTGATATATCCTAGATGCAGTTTAAAAGGCAGTCACAAAGACTTAAAGAGTGCACATAAAAATCAATGTTAGACAGCTATTTCATTTATTTCTATGCGATCCAACATACATGATAAAAAACCTACTAGTTAGTGGAACACTCAACCTTACCATGTCATGTAGATGCTTAGCTGTTTAGATCTCTACAAGATCAGATAAAATCCAATTCAAATTCCGTTTCAGAAAACACAAACCAGCACTCACCTTTCTAGCTTACTGTTGGACAGCCAGAAACATGTGTGTTGAATGCTTTAACCATTCAGCCATGGATGCCTAGTGAGATTCTCGTACACAATAAAAAAACCAAATTCCAATTTACATGAAATCTCACCATGCACCATTAGTTGCAAGAAGCTAGGCCATTGCATTTAATTCTTCAAGTAGAGAAATATATACTATAAATTTATCTTCATACGACCAAGTCTATGTCTATTTTAGCTGATCAGAACTCTTTAAATGCAGCAGAGCCAAATCAGCAATTGTGCTTAAAATGCTTCTAGCTTGCATCCTTGAGTTAATTCAATCAAATAAAAGCTAGAGCATCATGACGTATCGACTAAACAAAAAATATGAATCCAGGATACAGAAGCACCTACTTTAGAAGCCACCACCAAAAATAAAAAGTCAACAAATTGCCTGCTTCACACATTCAAAAAGAGATGATATTATTCACTTTCTTTGTGACCCCAATAGACAATATATGCAAAGCATCTAGACAAAAATCATACTCATTTTGTTCTTTTGCTTCAATCATAATTCAGAATCATCAATCTTTGAAGAAAGAATGGTTATGACAAGTAAACCATGAAACTTACTGCCAACAAAATAATTTAGCAGATATCAAGTGTTGAGGTTAGATTAATCAAAGAAAACAGAGAGATTGCATATAGTGTCTGCATCAATCAATCTGTACAAATCATCCCAGTAACCTAGCAGGTGGAAAAAAGGTGTACAAATCATATTTCAATGGTTTATATTCATAAAACAGCAAAACATAGCTAAGAATCTATAATCCCACTCTCTTCTCAGTTGCTTGCCAATAGAGCAAACATAAAAACAACCACCAATCCCAAGTACAGAAAAGGCAATTTAGGGAGATGAAGGTCAACCATCAATTTCAAGGAAGAGAACACAAAGGTTTCATTAATCAATATATCCCGTCATTTATAGTCCAGCACATGGAAGCCCATAAACCTGATTTTTTTCTGCAATATTATCCAAAATATTTAGCAATTCTCCTAGCACATATTTCCTGTCACTCCAGTTTAATCCAGTCCATAAACCAAGTTTTAACAAATAGTTGCAGTATGTGACGGTCAACGAACAATATTGTTGCAAAACAATTTCCTTACTGGTTGGGAATGGTGTATCGCAATAATCCTGAAAGCATGTATTTTATCTTAATCATGGTATCACCAGACATTAGAAACTAGCTAGCAAAACAAAGGAATAAAACATCAGGTTACTTCAAAGGGGATCCTCTTAATTGTTATAACTCAATAGGTAGCATCTAGGTACGGAAAAGAATGCTAGCACATAATTGGTAAATCATTTCTTAAATATGAAAATCACATTTGCTTTTTCAATGATGATTGTGATTCCTTAACATATTCATGATGTAAGTTCCACCGTAGTCGACAGGACTAGGAAGTATTTGATAGTGCAAAAAGAGTTTTGATGGTGACTCAAATTCATTCAAGGGCCACATTACCTGGCACAATTTGTGTCCTCCATACTTATTGACGGATAATTTATTTAACGAACCCGTTTGAATACCCATTTCTACAACCTGTATTTCAATCAATTTAGTGATCATTTAAGCAGTGTTTGTGTGCATGTGCATCTATATTGTATTAGAATGCAGCTATTATATGATTCTTCAAAGCCATTAAATTTGTATGGTGTACTTGATTGTGTGAGAGCCTAACATTCAACCATCACCCAAATCTTCTCAAAAATAACCGGTCTACCTCTTTCTTGGTGGTTTTAGCTCTTAAATTCTTAATTTTAATACCCAAATCAAATTTTCAAGACTGGTAAAGGAAAGAAAGAAATACTCTCACAAGTAAGTTCAGGTAAGTAGGATCTGAAAAGGCATTAACCAACAAAAGATGATATCACTGAGAATGTGATTTAAAAAACATTTCATGCAATTAGGTTTATGATATCTCAAACATAACCGGTCTACCTCTGCCTTGGTACAAGTAGATATTTCTAGCAAAGGTCCAAATTTGCTACCATGGTTTATGACATCTTTGCAGTATGTGTATTTCATACTGCAAAGATATCAAGCTACAACAAGAATTCACCATTTGTAGCACTGTGATGCTAATAAATGAAAAGTGGCCTGGTAAACGAATTTGCTACCATGGTTGAAGAAAAACTGAACCAAATGTTCTACTTTTACATGCGGATTATTTAACGACCGTTTGGCTACCCATTTCTACAACCTATATTTCAATCAATTTAGTGATCTTTTAAGCACTGTTCACCAAGTATGATGGTTTAATTCCTTAACCGTGGATGATTTAACGAACCCGTTTGGCTACCCAGAAACACAAAAATAAATGCATGAACCACAACTAAGCAAAACAATTATCACTTTATTTTCAACGAAATAACCATCAACGCAGAAGTTACTTCCCCTCCACAGCTTGCACCTTTACTTGACAATGCAATTACATTTAGCTGATGTAAAGACGAATATGACTTTCAGAGAAACTCATGGAATTAAAAGTTCAAAAATTAAACCAAGAAATTTGCCAAATTGAAATCAGCCCAGAGTTGGTGCGGTTATGTTTCCATCGTGAAAGTCCAAAGTGATCATGCTAATTTTGGTGAAATTGTTCAGAAGTATTTGTGTATTGACAATAAAGCAAAAAATTAAAATTAAAATTAAAAAATCCAAGAACAACATGGAAAGAACCACCATTGAGAATGCTTACATTAAACCCTTATACAATGAAAGTGACTTCTCGTAGCCTTCTTTGAGTTAAAACACATTGTGAGCTACTTGTGTATCCTCTTTTTGGAAAAAAAACTGAGGCAAAAAAAAACAAAGAAGCAACAATTGGTTTGAAAGGAATGAAGAATATCACCAATGACAGATGGTATCCCATATGAAACCCAATTGTACCTGCCGAATCAAGGTGGAGCCACAGCCATCTCACTGGACTCCTTATGTTTGAGATACTGATGCAAAATTGAAAGCCTGGCCGTCTCAAATGCAAAATACCCCAATGCAGAGAAACAAGCACTATGAAGAACTCGAGGACCCATTCCACTGGTCAATCCCACCCACCCCTCTTCTTTCAAGATTTGCTTCACAGTGGCCGAAACCCCACTATACACAGCAGCAGTGACCTTATTTACAGCCTCCCCATGAACCTGAGTCATCAATCTAGTCTTCACCACATCCAAAGGCGTTGTCAAAGACGCCGATATTGCACCAGCCAACGCCCCACAGCACACGCTTTGTAATGGCTCCAAATTTGCCTTCTTTGTTTTACTCAACACTGCAGCTTTCAAGTACTCAAACGAGGAATAGCTCAACACTCCAGCAGGCAAATTCCTCAACAATGTTGCAGAGTAACCAGCATACAGACCCAAAACACCATCTTTCTCTAGAATCCTCAACAGAACCTCCCAAGACCTCCCCTTAGCACCAGCCTGCATTCTCTGAGTGATCAATTCCTTCGGCACCATTATCGCCGACGACACAATATTCCCCATTGCACCAGCAGTGGGAGGGATCAGCAAAGGTGGGTATTGAGGCAATTTCGATAGAATCGACTTCCCAAACTCACACGTCCCGAAGTACACCGCAGACGAAGCCGTGGACCCGACAATCACAGCCGAGACGCCGCTGTAAAACCCGAGAATTCCCTTGTTCTGGAAGGTCTTGACAATGGCATCGAGCGTGCCGCTATAAATTTCGGAAGCCCCTCTGGTTTGGAGCTTCGTTTTGATGGTGTCGAGTGGGTGGAGACACACATACGTGAATGCACCGGCAATGCCACCACCGCCTGCGCCGATGAGGGCTCGTTCGAAGACGGAGAGGTTTCTGAGCAGAGAACGGACTCTGGGATTGTCTCTGGTGGTGGGTTTTAGCCAATTCTGAGAAGTGGGTTTTGGTGGGTTTTCGATTTGGGTCTCTAAAGAAATGGAGGTCGAGGAGAATCTGAGATTGGTTGATAGACTGGTGTGACTTCTGGTGTTTTGCTCTGTTCTGTGAATGATTTGGTTAGGGTTTGGGGAATGGAGATTAGAGGTGGATATGAGGGTGTTGAGATGGTTGAAACGGGTGTTGAAATCGTCGAGTGTGTTGAGGTGATTAGGGTTAGAAGAGAGAAGGCCAAGAGTTGTGGAGATTGGAGTATCCATTGCAAGTGCTCTGCTATTTGCGGGCTGTTCCGAGTGTGATGATCTTGTCAATGGTCATGGCAGAGGGACGCCTGGAGACGCGTCTGGATACCGGGCGCAAGATTTGGGAGATAGTACGCGCTGGGTTGGGTTGAGGTTTGACTAGAAAGCCTAGGAGGCTAGGATGATTTTGGTTTGCAAACCTGCAATCAGGTGCAATTAGTTGTTTGAGAAATCATTTGGGTTAAATGCCAAAAAAAAAAAAAAAAAAAAAAAAAAAAAAAAAAAAAAAGAAACCTGAACTATTGGCCAATCAGCAATAAACCCTCAGAACTTTAAAATTTTTAAAAAATACCCTCTAAACTATAATTTTTGTTACAGATAGCTCCATCTGACGACCGGCCGGTTGAATTTCACCGTTAAAACCATCACATGTAGTCACGTGATTACACAATATATATTTAATGGCCATAATGCCCTTATGAGCATAAAAGACTGTATTACCCCTTATTATGAACATTACACCCAAACATACCCTTAGTTTACTGTTACACCCAATTACCCAAACACACCCCATCACTTTATATATATTACATATAGAGAGAGAGAGAGTTACAAACACTGTTTATCTTCTTCATCAAACCCAACCGCAAGATGGTAGTAAGTTTCTTTCCCTGTGATGCCTGCACTACGAATTTAAGGAGGAAACAAGAGAGCATACAGTTTTCAAACCCTCATTTTGAGCACCTAAACTTGAACTGGTGATGAGTTTTAGGAGTGAGTGTTGTTTGAATTGATTACTCAATTCAGCGCATCTTTTATTTAATTAAATGTTTAATATAATTTGAATATTACTAAAATATAGTAAGTAACATTTAAAATAGGGTAGGGTAAGATTTTAAGAGGTTAAATGTAAAAAGTACTCTTGTAATTTTAAAAGTATACAAATAACACTATTTGTGTTCAAAATTCACTCGTATAGTTTAAAAGTGGGCAAAGAAAAACTTTTTGCCAGTTTAAAATTACTTAAATGGACATACTAAAAAACAAAAACCACAAAACCATACTCTTTCTCTCTCCATCTTCATCCTGTACAGAGCTATTAACTCTTCTCCTCTTTTTCTTCCTCTGCAACTTTTCATACAGGTCTCTCATCTCCGACGGTGTCGACGATGATTTGTGGGGTTTGCTTCTTCGGCTCAATCAGTTCTTTGCCAAGGAATCTTGAATGCCTTGTACCACCACAGCACTCGACAATCTCTTCCTCATCAGAATCTATGATTATCTGATGTTCCTCACTTCCTAGCTGCTACGTACCCCTCCAGTGGAAGGGGGGTCTTGTTGGAGATTCTTGGACCTGGTCTTGTTGGAGGATTGTCTCTTCCTCATCATCGTCTAATCTCAAGTTGTTTAATTTTGATTTGGATTTTTCTTATGTTGGTTGCTTAGAAACTGAAGGAAAGGGAAAGTTAAGAGAAAACCCCCAATTTGGTACGATTTGAATTATCTGGGTTTCAGTAGACTTGAATTGGTAGGCAATACCCCCAATTTGTTATTGATGATCTCTAGGAACCTTCCATGGTTAAATCTTCCTCTCTCTACGCTCACTCTCCTTTGCAAACCAATTATGCTACCCTCCTCTGCAAACCAATTGTGCTATCTGGGTTTGGCACTTGGGCATTGTGGGTGTCACTTATTAGAAGTTGACGTGGCACGTTGACAAGTCAATACGACCCTAACCAAATCCTTCGTGGCGATTTGAAAAGTCAAAAAACTCAATAGAGACCAATCCTCGAGCATATTAAGCCCTAGTATCACTACAGGCCCATCAATCATGGAGGGACCAACTCTCGAGCACCTTAAGCCATGGCATTGCTCCAGGCCCATCAAGCAACTCTCGAGCACCCTAAGCCCTAGCATCACTCCAAGCCTATCAAGCCTCGAGGGATCAACTCTTGAGCACCTTAAGCCCTGGCATCGCCCCAGGCTCATCAAGCCTTGAGAAACCAACTCTGGAGCACCTTAAGCCTTGGCATCGCCCTAGGCCCATTAAGCCTCAGGAGTCGACCCTTAAGCACCTTAAGCCCTGGCATCGCTCCAGGCTCATCAAGCCTCGAGGAACCAACTCTTGAGCACCTTAAGCCCTAGCATTGCCCTAGGCTCATCAAGCCTCGAGGAACTAGCCTTCGAGCATCCCTAACCCCTGATATCACTTCAAGCCCATCAAGCCTCAAGGGACCAACCCTCGAGCACCGTAAGCCCTGGCCTCACCCCAGGCCCACGCAAGCCTCAAGGTCCTAACCCTCGAGCACTCCAAGCCTTAGTATTATGCCAGGCAATACCACTTCAAAGGATCAGAGCCCTAAAAGGCTCGCTATCAAAATTCGCACATAGCATGAAACGAAGGTAGGGTCTTCGCAGCTATAAAGAATCTAAGTTTGGGAAACTTAGGAGGATCTTGGATTGGTGGATGAGAAGTCAAGAAGTGCCTTCGCTTTCAGCAAGGCCCAATTAACAAGATGATGGGATTATACACATTACAATGGCAAACCTTAAAATCACATTTAATGTTATGTTAAGATTGACCAACTAGCGACCAAGTAACATTTAATGCCCTTGATTAAGGGAGAAATGACATGGCAACAAAGTGCAAGGCTTGATGAGAGGATTAGACCCCTTAGGCTCCTTAACCTCCAGGATTACCCACGTAATCCTAAGTAGGAGCAATGCATGCGAGAAACCATGCATAAAAGTGACCATTAGATAACAACCAATGGACTCTGGGCCTATAAATGGTATTATCCCATGACAAAATAATCAACGAAAAAGGGGAAGCTATCATAAGATACTGTATACTTGCCCTACCACTATCTTAATCTTGATAGTTGATCTTCTTCTCCTCCTCCTACACCGAGCATCTCCTCTGTTTCCTTTATATTTGTATTTCTGATATCACCATTGTATAATTATTTATTGTTTGATAAAAAAGAACCCCTACATTTTGGCGACTTCACTGGGGATATCAGTATAAGCAGATGGAATCACAGGATATGCCGACTCGTCATTCAAAGCCCTCTGTTGGGGGGGGGGGGGGTCGTGACGCTCCTCTTCAGTCTCAGGCACCGTCACATGCTTCCAATGCTCGTGTACCTCATATCACACTGCCGGAGAGTTCAGCAGCCCTTTTCATCCATGAAGAATTGTTGTAGTCCTACCGTGACCTCAATAATCGTCTTGACAGACTGGAGGCCCTGATCATGGAAAGTGCACGGGCCAGAACCACTTCTCCTGCCAGAGTAACCCTGCTCGAACATAACCAACCAGACAGTTCATCCACTCATGTGCCACCATTGTGGTATCCACCGAAGCAGGCTCAGGCAGCCCCAAAGCCTACCTCAATTCAAGTTACGCCTCCGACCAACCCTTCTCCGGAGTACGTCACTGAATCTATGTTACGGGATTTCTTTATAAAGCATGCTCCGTCTGCTACACGCGCGTTGGTATTATGCACTGAGCCACCATATCCAAAAAGTCTCGTTCAGACTCCATACTCGCAAGGGTATATCATTCCAAAGTTCCCCAAGTATGACGGTGTGCAGGGAGATGCTAATGAACACTTACAGAGATTCATAGAGTCTCTAGGCCAGTATATCCACGACGAGGTCCTATGCCTCCAAGAATTCTCCAAGTCTCTTATAGGGCTCACTTAAAGATGGTTTAAGAGCCTCAAACCTGACTCGATCACCACATGGCAGCAGTTCTCCCAGAAATTTCATGACAAGTTTAGCCAAGCCATCAAGAGGGTCACTACCTTCTCCCTCACCAAACAAACGCAGGAGCCCCTTAAGTTCATCTCTCGTTTTTAAGCTTGCGAGAGGGAATGCTTTGAGGGAAGCAGCGAGAGAGACCTGGTTGACATCTGCATATAGGGCATGAGCAGAACCTATAGAGTGCACTTGGTCAATTTGGAACTCAACAGTTTCAGTAACCTCACCACAACCATGCAGAACATTTGCAAGGACCTCGCACCTCCCAAAGTAGAAGTCGCAAGCAGGTCACTCGTAAGGACACACCAGTTGTTTCTCACAATGACAGAGCTAACAAGCGCTAAGAAGTAGATACAAAAGCTAAAGGGACTCAATGTGATACCCCTCAGATCCGAGACACGGGTTGATCAGGCCCAAACCCAAACCCGAGGGAATATCAAATAAATAATATTTTAAAATGAACACAGAATACAAAATAAATTAAGAAATGAAATTAAAGCTGGAATGAACTAAAAATAGAATCCGAAAAATATTATAATTATTAAAATCCATCAAACCCAAACTCCAAAACTCCATCAGTTTACAACTTTGGAATCCATCTCTAGTGGACCCCTATTAAACATCCAAACGGAAGATAGAACAACTATAATAAACGTCCAGAAATAAAACTATAGAGAGAGCCCTACATCGTCGGAAGAGTGAATAGAGACCTCTGCTCAGCACGAACACGTCTAAGCCTGGAACTGTCGTGTACCTGAAAAATAGAAGTGGGTTAGGCCCACACGCAAGTTCTATACTACTACAATCCAAACAGAGGCCCGATACGCATGTACATCCTAAACAATTCAACAATAGCTAATAGTCCGTAAATATATATATAGTCACACTAAAGGACTCTCACTGGACTATAGGCTGGTCTCAACCTGAATAGAGGCAACATGCTAAAACGCACACGAAGTGAGCATATGTACCTATACCTAAACAGGGTACACCTCCAACCATCGTAGCCAACTACACATCCCGATGCATATACGCTCCCTAGCCATCGGACCTGAGGCTCAAGCTCATACCGAGGCACCATAACAGTACACATATAAAATCCATCCAAAATCCCTGGTATTGCCGCTCAACAAGTAGTTGCCATGACAATACAAATCCACGGGACTTAACTTTTAGTTAATCCCATCCTTATTCCAAGTAGGTGGGTAATGGTATTATTTTAAAAACCAAACCCATCCTTTGTATGCCACCGTCCCATACCGGTGCCTACTTTCCAATCCTCCAGTAGTCAATAATACCAATAAATCAAGTATATATCAACTAAATTCCAACATCCAACATTCAATGTTAGCAGTGATAAAATAAGCATTGATAAACAAGGTCACAACAACAACATATACATGCCCAATTTAAGTTGTTCCCTTTAGTCTGATATAAAGACAGAATTAATTAAAACTTCCAT